ACGGGCTCACAGTGAGCTGCACCATGCGCCGGGCAGACGGAGCTCTCGTGCCCGATGGTTTTGCAGAGTAAATGAACACACAAACAGGTTTAAAGGCAAAATGACCCTGGCTCAGTACAGCACGGACAGACATCCTACAGAGCGCTGCATCAACAGTAAACCAGGAGCTGGAGGGTTGCCTACAAATCTGCATGAAGTTGAGCCGCTTCGAGCCGGCTTTAAGGGGATAAAGCATCAAACTTCAGCTCTCAGCATGCACAACTCTGCACCCGGCAATCTGCTGTCCAAGCAAGTTTTGCTTCATCCCCATTAGAGACTGCTACCACTTGCTTTACACTGTGGAGCTGGAGATCTCAAACAGCTTTGTAACAGTGTGCTTGGTCACCACTTCACAGAAAGGAAAGCAAAGCAGAGAAGAACAAGATCTACCCAGGGTAGCAAACAGGGGCACAACCCAGAGCAGACTCAGTGCTGGCTGTGTTCACCAGAGAACAGCTATCCATAACTTGTATAATGAGTCTGCTCTGGTTATAAGAAAGCATATCTTGTTCTTGTACTAAAGGCCCTTTTTCTCCTTTTTTTTTTTAAAGCTGTTAACACATGCTCAGCATCTGCGCGTGCACAATATGCATGCTACATTTAATACCAATTACAAGGCTCACTATGGAGATAAAATAAGAGTTATTCACTAAAGAAATTAACCTATCAAGCAGCTGGAGTCTCACTGGTCATAGGGACCAATATGTGGCAATGCTGAGGAAAATTCAAGTGAACAATATTGATTTGGTGTTTATCCAGTTTTACACCATAAAGTCTCTATTTAAATGCCTGGAAGAAAAAAACCCCCACAGCTTAAGAAATGGAGATGCAGAACGACATTTGCCGTGGAAGTTAGTGCTTCTGTTGATCTTTCTGGATTAGTCCTGTTGAGACTTTCACTGCAAGAGCAGCCCTCTGAAGACAGACACCCTCTCCAAAAAAAGGATGCATTATCAAATACATAAGAGCTGCAACAAGTACCTGAGGAGATCAACATATGACAGTGAGTGAACGTGACAAACTGGCCCAGATCCTGCCAACAGCCTCTTCCAGACCTTCAGCTGCCTTTGAGACACTCACAGCACTGACGCAATCTCACCATCACAGCAACAGACCATGATTTCACGCATCAACTCAAGCACATCCCAAACCATTTTCTTCTGCTGTAACAGAGAGGCTTATTTACGCTTTTTTACATGTCAAACAGTTGTTTGGAAAATGGAAGTGGGGTTTGGGGTTGCTCTACTCTGGCAGTCCCTGCTCAGGCTGAGAGATAATGTCAGAGGCACAATGCAGAGAATACGCCACATTTGAATATCTCATGTTCCCCTGCCTCCTCTCAGGTCACCTGAGATCCAAAAGGGATCTGCTAGTCATGAGTAGAAAACAGGGATCAATGATAGAGGTGGTACAAACTCCATCACCAGGAGCCTTAAAAGATTACACTAGACAAATTCTGCTGGGAAAACGCATATTCTATCCTTCCTTAGATCAGCACTAACCATGCTTGGTTCCCACTGCTCTTGCTTAGACTCTTAGGACAAGAGATGGGAAAAGGAAGGCCAGGGCAGCTCACACACAGGAAGACAGCTGCCTTGGCATTCACAACCAAACAGTTCCTTTCTGGTAGCACAAGGGCCCAAAGCAAAGTGAACTGGTTTGAGGAGGAGGGACTGCTCACATCACCCCATGCTTCATGCAAGAGTGTGGGAGCCTCAGTCTTCCCAAAGGAGGGGAAGAAATGCATTAAAAAAAAAAGACTTTAGGAGTAATGAAGAGGGAGCCTTGAAAGTGGAACAAATTGGGCAGCAATATAACATAGCAAGTGTGTGTCTGGAGGAGAAAGAGGAAGGATTGCTACACCGACAGCCAGAATGCCTACTGACACTGATAGGCAGAACACTAAGGGCAGAGGAAGATGATTTTATTTCAGTCTCCAACCCCACTAATTGACTGCACCAGCAGCCCAAGTGACCGCCGTCCCTGGCTGCCAACCGTTTCTGACCCCTGCTGAAGAGCTCAGCCCTTTCAGGGGGCACCTTGGGACGCATCTCACCCCCTCACCACGTACAGAAATCAGGCATGTGTGTGCCTGCAGCGTGAGACTGGTTTTGGCCCTGCACAAGCGTGGGCTAACATTAGCCTAAGACCCAAATGCCAAGCCCTTGGCTAGCCATGCAGTCAAGAGACACTGCCTAGCAATTTAGCTAATACCAGCCTAGGGTTAGCTCGGCTTGACACTCGTTAAAGCCATGCCCACAACAATAAACAAAGACACAGATGACATTCACTCACGCACTGGTTAGGCTTAATAAGGAAAGAAAAGCCAGAGAAATACAGAGATTTCCCAGGAAAAGATTCACTTCTACATGCGAGGGATCAGGAAAAGACAGCACATTTCATGCAACAGCACTTCCACAGGAAGTATTCCAGGGGAAAAAAAACAACTCACCACCATTCAGATACTTTTATTTTTAGTGCTCACCCCATCTAGTAACTCAGCTGAGACAGTGCTGGCCCAACACAGCCCGAGGCACAGCTACTCCCCATCCAGACATGATCACTTTGTCAGATCACACTCCACAGCCCCATGAATTTACTTAAGGCTTGAGAACACTATTAAAAGCCCAGTATCATATCAACTAACATTTCCTGCTAAAAGGGGTCACTAAATTAAGCCCATTAATGCCAACTGCGAGACAATTCTTTTCCCAAAACCAAGTTTTAGTCCTCCTGCTGTGTCTATTTATTTGTCTCTGACACTAATGAGAAACAAAGGGTTACTACAAGTGGCCTGGAAGATGGCACAGACAGAGAAATTTAACTCCTAACCATTCTGAGCCACCACAGAGAGCACCATTTTCTGCAATGCCTTAACATAATTAAAAATCCCAGTTTCTCAGTGGCACATCTTGCAAAGGTCACTGCTCTGGGCTCACCGCCTGCTTTCCCAGCAACTACAGCTCAAACCATTTCCCTCCTCTTATCTCCCCAGTGTAAAAGCAGCCTCCCTGCTAAACAAGCAAACTGCTGTTGACACGGCACAGAGACTAAAGCGCATCTGACCTCCGGGAACGCCAATGCCATTAAGGGTTAGATCGTTTCCAGTTCATTAGCTCATGAAGCACTGGAGCTGGAAACGTGTTTAATGTCTGCTTTAATACGATTACAGCAGCTTAAAAAAAAAAAAAAGTCTTTGACAAATAAGGATTTGTTGCATTGGGGTACATCCAGCTGCCTCCTACCTCTATTATTCAGAGCTTGAATCACTCAAACGCGGCGCACAGATCACCTACCCAGCTCACTAGAACCAAGCCTCAAACCAAAGCCAGACAAACCCACTGGAGCTCTGAGAAACACCCAGCTGTGTTGACTGGGGTAAGTCTTACTCAGGTTACGTGGTGCAAATATACCAATACTGCTTCTTACCCCCGCAGGTAAGTCACCAGGCTGTCGGATCTGTGTGCTCTGCTCCACCCCACGGGAACATCTCCCAGGCTGATGGTTACATTCACCACTTCTCTCTGCCAGGCTGCCACCAGTGTAAGACCACAGCACCGAGCTCCTCTCTACTACCATGGTCTCCTTGCTAAGGAATCCTCTCATTGCAGCTCATGCCCAGCTCACAGCCCAGAGCAGACACAATACTCCGGATTCTGACCCTACTAGTGCTTGAATACCCCCTCGTGAGTGGCTGTGGCATGGGGAGAACTACACAGAGTGCTTTCCTTTTGGCCTAACTGCAACTAAAACGTCACCAATATTAAACCGTGATGTGCTCTGGAAGATGTACAAATGGGATGACACAGGGCTAGGGTCTGCAGCCCTGAGAGCTGTGCACTGAAATTCAGTAGGTTTGGGAACCAGGTGGAACAAACGCCTTCTTGAAAGAGAGCCTGAATCAGTTACGAAGCAGTGGGACACTTTATATCCTTAGAACAACTTTTCTGTTTTCTTCTACAGACAGAAAAAGCACGGAACGAATATATCCGCATATATCAGCGTTCAGAAACATTCATCTGATAGCAGGAAAAATCTGCTGGAGGTTGGTACAACGGCACTGGTTAAATCCTCTTGGCGTTTTAGGACTCAGCACTACGAGCTCAGCGATCCAAGCGTTACAGGCACGAATGATCAAGGCTTTGCAGAGATAAGCACAGCTCCAAGCATTTCACATCAGCTGAAGCTAAAGAGGATGCCACTTACCAAGCTGTCCAGCCCTCCTCCCAGGAGGTCCACAGCACCCATCTGCATGGAGGACACTTGGGGAACATTCACTGGGGGTCCCAGATCCAGGTTGAGAAGGTCACCCAGAAGGTCTCCCTGCGATGGAATCACCTGCGGCTGCTCCAGGTTTGTAGTGGTCGTCGTGCCCACGGGGCTATCGCCTGCATCAGTGCTATGGGTGAGAGGAACAAGAAGCAGAAGACAAACATTAGTTACCTTTGGTCTCCAGCTTCAGATTCTCAGCATGGGGAAACCCAGCAAGAGGTGGCCTAGGAGCAGAAGCCAGTTAAAAGCTTATCCTAGCAGCTGATCTGACCACTGCCACGTACAGGGCAGTGTGTTACAGCAAGTGGTTCTTCAACACGTGCTTTGAGCACAAAGACTTTCCATGCATTGTGCATGGTTTTCAGCTCAGAAAAGACAATCTTCAAGGTGTGAGATCAGCCCACCTTGAGAATCGCAGACCCCTCCAACCAAAACAGTGAGCCATGAGTACTACATGGACTACAGCACCGAAAATAATTATTTCCCAGATCAGAAGAAATCTGTGGATATGATTTTCAGCCCACTGGGCCTGGTGAACATGTAAACATGAAAAAGAATCCAGATTTCCTCGAGACCTAACATTATGTGACCCCTGAGCCCTTGCTCTAATCACTGCAAATTCAACCATCCCCCACAGATCTGGATTAATCACCGTCTACTGACCAGCACCGAGCTCCACAACTCTTTCCTAATTAAAGATCTCAACCTAATATCGATACCTGCCTTCTACCAATAATTTCCCTTTCTCTGAGTTAGCAGGCATGCTAATTACTAGTCTAGAAATGCTCATTATAGAGCTTCCAAAGTTGCTCATCATATGCAGTCTGGCTACCTTTTATATTCACTTGCCACTGAATTTTACAACAAAAGAGGGGGAGCAGGGAGTAAGACTGACGGTAGCTCCTGGAGATCTCATTACGATGTATTTATTCGTTAAATCCAGAGACGCTAATATCTTAGATAAGTAAAAAAAAAAA